ATTCTCTAAGAAAAGGAGGAGTAGATGTAAAATAGAAAGAGACAGGCGCTCCCTTTACAGGCGAGGAAAAGATAACAGAGCGGCTAAAAGAGGTCAATATATCTGAAATGCGCAGGGAGACACTGGTCAGAGAAATAGCAAGCATCGAACTTAAGCTAAAAGAATCCTTTAGGAGTCAGGAATCGCGGGAAGAACTAAAAGCTATAAATGAAATCGAAAGAAACCCAAAGTATTTCTTCTCCTATGCCAAATCAAAATCGAGAACAACGTCCAGTATTGGGCCCCTACTTAAACAAGATGGGTCCCACACAGATGATAGCAAGGAAATGAGTGAGCTACTCAAGTCCCAATATGACTCAGTTTTTAGCAAGCCGCTAACCAGACTGAGAGTTGAAGATCAAAATTAATTTTTTATGAGAGAGCCACAAAATTTGATTAACACAAGCCTATCCGATGTTATCCTGACGCCAAATGACTTCGAACAGGCGATAAATGACATGCCCATGCACTCTGCCCCAGGGCCAGACTCATGGAACTCTGCGTTCATCAAGAACTGCAAGAAGCCCCTATCACGAGCCTTTTCCATCCTATGGAGAGGGAGCATGGACACGGGGGTCGTCCCTCAGTTACTAAAAACAACAGACATAGCCCCACTCCACAAAGGGGGCAGTAAAGCAACAGCAAAGAACTATAGACCAATAGCACTAACATCCCATATCATAAAAATCTTTGAAATGGTCCTAAGAAGCAAGATAACCACCCATCTAGAAACCCATCAGTTACACAACCCAGGGCAACATGGGTTTAGAACAGGTCGCTCCTGTCTGTCTCAACTACTGGATCACTACGACAAGGTCCTAAATGCACTAGAAGGCAAAAAGAATGCAGATGTAATATATACAGACTTTGCAAAAGCCTTCGACAAGTGTGACCATGGCGTAATAGCGCACAAAATGCGCGCTAAAGGAATAACACGAAAAGTCGGTCGATGGATCTATAATTTCCTCACTAACAGAACACAGAGAGTAGTCGTCAACAGAGTAAAGTCCGAGGCAGCTACGGTGAAAAGCTCTGTTCCACAAGGCACAGTACTAGCTCCCATCTTGTTCCTCATCCTCATATCCGACATAGACAAGGATGTCAGCCACAGCACCGTGTCTTCCTTTGCGGATGACACCCGAATCTGCATGACAGTGTCTTCCATTGCAGACACTGCAAGGCTCCAGGCGGACATCAACCAAATCTTTCAGTGGGCTGCAGAAAACAATATGAAGTTCAACGATGAGAAATTTAAATAATTCAGATATGGTAAACATGAGGAAATTAAATCTTCATCAGAGTACAAAACAAATTCTGGCCACAAAATAGAGCGAAACACCAACGTCAAAGACCTGGGAGTGATTATGTCAGAGGATCTCACCTTCAAGGACCATAACATTGTATCAATCGCATCTGCTAGAAAAATGACAGGATGGATAATGAGAACCTTCAAAACTAGGGAGGCCAAGCCCATGATGACACTCTTCAGGTCACTTGTTCTATCTAGGCTGGAATATTGCTGCACACTAACAGCACCTTTCAAGGAAGGTGAAATTGCCGACCTAGAAAATGTACAGAGAACTTTCATGGCGCGCATAACGGAGATAAAACACCTCAATTACTGGGAGCGCTTGAGGTTTCTAAACCTGTATTCCCTGGAACGCAGGAGGGAGAGATACATGATTATATACACCTGGAAAATCCTAGAGGGACTAGTACCGAACTTGCACACGAAAATCACTCACTACGAAAGCAAAAGACTTGGCAGACGATGCACCATCCCCCCAATGAAAAGCAGGGGTGTCACTAGCACGTTAAGAGACCATACAATAAGTGTCAGGGGCCCGAGACTGTTCAACTGCCTCCCAGCACACATAAGGGGGATTACCAACAGACCCCTGGCAGTCTTCAAGCTGGCACTGGACAAGCACCTAAAGTCAGTTCCTGATCAGCCGGGCTGTGGCTCGTACGTTGGTTTGCGTGCAGCCAGCAGCAACAGCCTGGTTGATCAGGCTCTGATCCACCAGGAGGCCTGGTCACCGACCGGGCCGCGGGGGCGTTGACCCCCGAAACTCTCTCCAGGTAAACTCTCCAGGTATATATATATATATATATATATATATATATATATATATATATATATATATATATATATATATATATATATATATATATATATATATATATATATATACATACATACATACATACATACATACATACATACATACATACATACATGCATGCATGCATGCACGCAACCACAAATAGGTGAATACATATATATGTATGCACTGACCTAGACATATACATACATACAAAGTGGAACAATCTGGAGTGAAGTAGTAGGGGTAGAATCTATACATAGCTTTAAGAAGAGGTATGATAAGGCTCTTGGAGCCAGGAGAGTAGACCAGTGATGAGGCAGGGCCAGGAGCTGTGATTCGACTCCTGCAACCACATATAAGTGAGTATGTACATTATACAGTACATACACATATTATTTTTAAAATAATGTGCCTAATATTTATTTATTTATTTATTTATTAATTTGAACATGATACAGTGAAGTACAAAAAAATATAGTTAAATCCAGCATGCCAAAGCCCCTTGTATGCATAGCATTATGGGCAGGCTTAAAATTAACTTAAGATTAACTAAGCAATGATACATTCAGTGGTACAAAAATTATTGTAAAACAGATAACAATTTAGTACAAATGAGTATTACAAAGACAGGTTATATGGTCATTTACTGTACTTTAGTAATGCAAGTCTGTGGCCCAATAAATAAAGAAATATACATGCCCTTGACTTATATTTTTTTTTAATGATCCAGGATAACCCAAGAGATTAGATTTTGCCACCGAAGTGGCTAGTTTAATGTGCACCCGATATCCATCCTGTGGACGGTAGCGCAAGAGCATATGGATACACAAAAGGCCTAGGAACTAGGCCCGAAAGGGTTAACAGGTGTACATATGGGTTTTTATTTATCTACATATCTATAGTTCACTTATCTGTTACAAGCAAATTTAGAAAATTTGCTTAGTATATCTGGTATCTTATTTTCATTAATAAGATATCTTGACATGTCACATAGGTTATTATACTGTCTGTCTCTGTATTCCTCAATAAGTGAACAATTAAGCACATAGTGTTCAAGACAGTGACCATATGCCTGATCACATAATTTACATTTAGTTTGATCATCATCTGTGTGTCTCCCAAACTGCCAGAAGTACTTGTAACCAAGCCTAAGCCTGGCCACTACAACATCAGTCAGTCTGTTCACATTGCAAGTTGCTCCATAAACATACTGATCTATGTTCATGTTTTCATAGTGGGTTATAGATCTACTCAGGCTTCTAACTGCATTCCTATAACAATCATTTTCATTATTTACTTCTCTCCTAATATTATTCCTAATGCTAGACACAGTTATACCAAAGTTATATTCTACATTCTCCTTCTGGGTACTCTTCTTGGCTAACATATCAACTTTATCATGAATGAGTAATAGGATAACCCAAGAAAGCTGAGTATTATAGGTTTTCCAAAAGGATGGGACAGACATCAGTCGACTAACTTCAGATTATCAGTTTACTGCAAGGCAAATATAATAGTTATCAGGAGACTTTCATACATTTTGCTCCACCCAGGATTGAGCCTGGGTTCATTCACTTGTGATAAGATAAGATAAGATAAGATAGGATTTCGTTCGGATTTTTAACCTCGGAGGGTTAGCCACCCAGGATAACCCAAGAAAGTCAGTGCGTCATCGAGGACTGTCTAACTTATTTCCATTGGGGTCCTTAATCTTGTCCCCCAGGATGCGACCCACACCAGTCGACTAACACCCAGGTACCTATTTGCTGCTAGGTGAACAGGACAACAGGTGTAAGGAAACGTGTCGAAATGTTTCCACCCGCCGGGAATCGAACCCGGGCCCCTCCGTGTGTGAAGCGGGAGCTTTAGCCACCAGGCCACCGGGCCACCTAACCGAACACTACAGCTGAACTAAGGAGATACCTGCTCTTTTGATACTATGTCATTACTTTTTTTTTGTATCATTGCTATTTTCTTCATTATCCTGTAAGATGGTCTTATATCATTTTTTTTCTTTTGAGTTTTGACTATCATTGAATGTTGGTCCAAGGAGGAAATTTGGAATTATTGTATGTTTTATAACATCTATAATCTTTCTTCACCACAGATTAAAGAGTTGTTTCTTGTGCAAATTATTATTTTGGGAGATACTAGAAAAAATAGAGCCTTTATGTATTTTGTCTTGAATATTATGCTGGGGCCAATCAACAGTTAGTATTTTAGTCATTCAGTGCACCTAGACAATTGCTACAAATGTAAATAAAGGCACTCATCTCATATCTGCTGATAATGGAGTAAGTTAGATTCTGCTGCATTAGGTCATGCTGGGTCATGTTATGTTAGGTTCCATTTAAGTTTTGTTAGATTTTCCAATTGCACAACATTAACCGTGGCAGAACTAAATTAATATTGAATATCTTAAAGCTATATATATTTGTCACCAAAGTAGTATGTTGAGTACCAATATTCAGTTATTCCCTGAACCCCTCAAGGAAAGTTCCTTGATGTTGGTGAGGGGCTCTTGATCTAGGGATTTGGATCTGTGCTCCAATTCTCTGAATTAAGCCTGCATACCTTCCACATTCCCCCCTACCCCCCATAAGTGCTGCATAATCCTACAGGTTTAGAGGTTTAGTGCTCCCCTTGCTGCAGGATTTTTTTTTATACTGTGCACACTGACCACACAGACCCATTCTCTCACATATGGGCCTACCAGCTTTCTCCCGCTTGATTTGAAGCCGCTAGACTTTTTGAGTATATATACGTCAAACACATTGGCTCGTAAGACGTATATATACGACCAAAACAGTCAAAGGGTTAAATTGATAAATTTTGAAAATTATGTAAAAATGACAGATTTTGTAAACTTCTCTTCTAAGCTTTAATATCTCTCTATAATCGTCAGAGGAGAGAACAATGATGTTCAAGATGCAAGTACAGCACACCAACTGCTGCTGTACGTGACTACACTGAATGATCAAATTGAGGGGAAAGGTGGGTTTTTCCAAGTCTGTTAAGATTCATATGTATATAGATTTTTTTTTGCGAACAGTTGGTATTTCTAATATACTATTAAATATGTATATTAAAATTCTGATTGTAGTCTAAATATTGCCTGAAAAGCTGCATGCAATATGGGCTTTGTTGAAATATTATTACTGTATTAGTAATTTACATCTTTGTACCACACCTATGATTGTAATACCGTATTTTTTCAAATGCAGTATGTATAGTTTCATTTGATCTGGCGTGCGTTCAGTTCTGCAAATAAGTTCTCTTGAAAAATGCCCCACTCCAGAACTATTAATAAAAATACGATAATTTGCCTACCATTTTCTTATTTTTCTTATTAATTTTTGGTGGGAATCTTTTTTGAGAATGTGAGGTTGTGTTCCCGTATACCTTTACCTTTGATATACGAGCCTGGCCCATGGTCGGGCTCCAATAGTAGTGAAACTCTCGAAACTCTTCAAAGATATATTAAAGGTATATCTTTGATGAGTTTCAAGAGTCTTACTACTGTGAAAATAAATGGTATAAAATACTGACAAAATGGAAACATAAACACATATGCAGTTTAATGTGATCCTTTATTGACAATGTTTCGCCCACACAGTGGGCTTTTTCAAGTCACTGTGTGGGCGAAACGTTGTCAATAAAGGATCACATTAAACTGTATATGTGTTTGTTTCCAGAGTCTTACTACTCTTGGAAAATACTGAAAAAATATCTCAAATCTATGTATGTAGGGTTTTCAGGTGAGAAAGCAAACTGAATTAAATATTACTTAGAACATAATCCAAAGGTTTATACAGTGGCCACAAAATAGAGCGAAACACCAACGTCAAAGACCTGGGAGTGATCATGTCGGAGGATCTCACCTTCAAGGACCATAACATTGTATCAATCGCATCTGCTAGAAAAATGACAGGATGGATAATGAGAACCTTCAAAACTAGGGAGGCCAAACCCATGATGACACTCTTCAGGTCACTTGTTCTATCTAGGCTGGAATATTGCTGCACACTAACAGCACCTTTCAAGGCAGGTGAAATTGCTGACATAGAAAATGTACAGAGAACCTTCACGGCGCGCATAACGGAGATAAAACACCTCAATTACTGGGAGCGCTTGAGGTTCCTGAACCTGTATTCCCTGGAACGCAGGCGGGAGAGATACATGATTATATACACCTGGAAAATCCTAGAGGGACTAGTACCGAACTTGCACACGAAAATCACTCACTGTGAAAGCAAAAGACTTGGCAGACGATGCAACATCCCCCCAATGAAAAGCAGGGGTGTCACTAGCACGTTAAGAGACCATACAATAAGTGTCAGGGGCCCAAGACTGTTCAACTGCCTCCCAGCATACATAAGGGGGATTACCAACAGACCCCTGGCAGTCTTGAAGCTGGCACTGGACAAGCACCTAAAGTCGGTTCCTGACTAGCCGGGCTGTGGCTCGTACGTTGGTTTGCGTGCAGCCAGCAGCAACAGCCTGGTTGATCAGGCTCTGATCCACCAGGAGGCCTGGTCACAGATCGGGCCGCGGGGGCGTTGACCCCCGGAACTCTCTCCAGGTAAACTCCAGTGGAACTTCTGCTTACGAGTACCCAACCATGCACGTTTTTCAGGATGCAAGTTGCCGCTCGGTCGATTTTTTGCTCCTGGATACAAGCCAAAATTAAGGTTGCGAACTTTCCCCTTAAGGGCGGTTCCTTGCTGCTGGTGAAGGGCTCTTGATCTAGGGAATTGTAACTTTGCTCCAGTTCCCTAAATTAAGCCTGAATACCTTCCATCCCCTCTGCCCCACAGGTACAGGTACAGTGCTTCCCCATTATAATAAATTATATACTATAATATAATACATATAATAATAATATAATAATAATAATAATACTATAATAATAATACTATAATAATAATAATACTATAATAATAATACTATAATAACAAGTGAGCTTCAGAACACTGCCACTAGATGGCAGTGAATACCACAAGAGCGCTTACCATCACAAGTGCACGTGCTTACCTCGCAGTGGAAGGATTTCTCTTGTGTTTTGCTTATGTTTTGTGCAGTTATTTTGCCAAATTTCTTCTTTCTAACCATGGATCCTAAGAAAGTAAGTGCAAAGGACAGTGCTGAGAAGAAAAAGAGGCTGATGTCCATGGAAGTCAAGTATGAAATCATTGATAAACACAAGTGAGGGGAAGCATGGGAAGATTTTTTCAGAGTGGGAGTGGGAATGGCCTCCACCACTTGTCACATAATGATGTATTTCATTCATTCTAGAGTATATACCAGGTTTCTATGCTTATACAGTGGACCCCCGGTTAACGATTTTAATCCGTGCAAGAGGGCTCATCGTTATGCGAAATAATCGTTATGCGAATCAATTTTCCCCATAAGAAATAATGGAAATAAAATTAATCCGTGCAAGACGCCCAAAAGTATGAAAAAAATTTTTTTTTACCACATGAAATGTTAATTTTAATACACACAAACTGAAAAAGGCATGCACAATTACATGACACTTACTTTTATTGAAGATCTGGTGATGATTGATGGGATGGGAGGAGGGGAGAGCATTATCTTCTTACTGTTTAGAAGGGGAATCCCCTTCCATTAGGACTTGAGGTAGCAAGTCCTTTTCTGGGGTTACTTCCCTTCTTCTTTTAATGCCACTAGGACCAGCTTGAGAGTCACTGGACCTCTGTCGCACAACAAATCTGTCCATAGAGCTCTGTACCTCCCGTTCCTTCAAGACTTTCCTAAAATGGGCCATAACATTGTCATTGAAATAGTCACAAGCACGGCTTGCAACAGCTGTGTCAGGGTGATTTTCATCTATAAAGGTTTGCAGTTCAACCCACTCTGCACACATTTCCTTAATCTTTGAAGTAGGCACAATGGATTCCACAACTGGCATAGGCTTCTCAGGGTTAGCCCCAAACCCTTCAAAATCTTTCTTAATTTCCATACTAATTCCCACCCTTTTTACCACAGGGTTGGCACTAGAAGCTTTCTTGGGGCCCATGGTCACTTATTTTCCACAAACAGCACCGAAAACACTGTAATAATACGAAATATTCCGAGTGTATGCTTGGATGTTACCGCGGAGGCTGGCTGGTAAACAATGGGACGGCCGGCACATGTGAGGGCACATTGGACGCGTCTCGGACGAAAATCGGTATGCGGGTTTTTAATCGGTATGCGGGGCAAAAATTTTGCGATAAAAGTAATCGTTATGCGGAAAAATCGCTATGCGATGCCATCGTTATGCGGGGGTCCACTGTATTGTTTATTATATCATATTAGATGAATTGTGATAGATAAATAAGCCATAGAGTTGATATTAGCATCATATTGAAATATTTTGTCCTGCCTCCTGAGAGCAGGAATTCCTCTGGAACGGATTAATGGCATTTCAGCTAATTTAAATGAGAAAAATTGACTCAGCATACAAGCAGATTGGGTTACGAGCTAGGCCACGGAACGGATTAAACTTGTAAGTAGAGGTTCCACTGTAATTATCTTGTCTTTTGTTTCCAAATTTGTGTTATACTAGAGAATATTGTCCAGCAGACACTCTTAACAGGAAGTACAAATAAGAGACATGCAAGTAACTACAATAGAAAATAATTTGTCAGAGAAGTGACTATTAATTTTATAATCATTTTAAAAACTTACAGAATTTATTTATTTATTTATTTATTTATTTATTTAATAATATGAACATACATACAGAGGTACAAAAAAATACAGGTAAGAGCAGCATGCCAAAGCCACTTGTATGCATAGCATTACGGGCAGGCTTAAAATTAACTTAAGATTAGCTAAGCAATGATGTAATCTGTGATAAAACATTATTGTAAACAGATAACAACAAAGTACAAATGAGTATTACAAAGACAGGTCATATGGTTGCATGCATTGCTGTACATTCAGTAGAATGGAGTATTCTGTTAGGTAGTGTATTTAAAAAATAGCAAAGTTAGATTGGGTCTTAGGTTTAACATTTATGTGATATAATTATGAGAAACATTTAAGATATACAATTTATAAGGTTCAGTTATTCAGTATTTATTTGGTTTTGGGTGAGTAAGTGATCTTTGAGAAGAGACTTGAATTTATAAACAGGTAGTGTTTCTTTTATATTTACAGGTAATGAATTCCAGATTTTAGGGCCTTTTATGTGCATTGAGTTTTTGCATAGTGTGAGATGGACACGAGGAACATCAAAGAGTGATCTGTGCCTTGTGTTATGGTCATGGGTTCTATTGAGGTTGGCAAGGAGATGTTTGAGGGAGGGTTAATATCAGAGTTAAGTGTTCTATGTATGTAATAGGTGCAGTAATAAGTATGGATGTTTTGTATGGTGAGTAGGTTTAGTGTTTTGAATATTGGTGGAGTGTGCTGCCTGTAGTGGGAATTTGTTATCATTCTGACTGCAGCCTTTTGTTGGGTAATTAGTGGTCTGAGATGGTTAATTGTTGTTGAGCCCCATGCACAAATTCCATAGGTGAGATAGGGGTAAATAAGAGAGTGATATAGGGCCAGGAGGGCTGACTGTGGAACATAGTACCGGATCTTCGATAGTATGCCTACGGTCTTGGAAATTTTCTTAGAAATTTGTTGTATATGTGTATGAAATTTGAGTCTATTGTCAAGGTAGATTCCTAAGAATTTTCCCTCTGTTAGCTTTGTGATAGGTGATCCGTTTATCATTATGTTAAGAGGGACATCTGTAGCTCTGTTACCAAACTGACTGAAGTAGGTTTTGTCAATGTTTAGTGTAAGTTTGTTAGTCCTCATCCAGGTAGATATTTTCTGTAATTCGGTATTTACAGTATTGGCTAGCATGACTGGGCTCGGGTGAGAGAAGACGTATGTAGTGTCATCTGCAAATAGTGTGGGTTTGAGTAATTGCGAAGCATTTGGTAGGTCATTTATGTATAGGAGAAAGAGAAGAGGGCCAAGGACACTTCCCT